CCTCTGCTAGACACACAAGGAGGCGCCGCCCCTAGGCAGGGTCGGCCCCGCCCCCCCTTCCCATGAGGTCCAGTGATTTCTTGGGGGCTGGCCTGGCTGTCAACAAAGCCACCCACATGTTGGGAACTTAGGGGGAGATACTAAGGCAGAAAACGCCTGGTGGCCTCTATAAACCCAGGGCACACCCATCTCTTGAATACCTGCTGCTAGACACACAAGGAGGCGCCGCCCCTAGGCAGGGTCGGCCCCGCCCCCCCTTCCCATGAGGTCCAGTGATTTCTTGGGGGCTGGCCTGGCTGTCAACAAAGCCACCCACATGTTGGGAACTTAGGGGGAGATACTAAGGCAGAAAACGCCTGGTGGCCTCTATAAACCCAGGGCACACCCATCTCTTGAATACCTGCCTGCAGCTGCGCTCGCCCCACAGGGAAGCTATACGGGAACTGGAAAAGGTTCAGAAAAGAGCAACCAAAAGGGGAGCGGAAGGAGAGAGTAATAAGACTGGGACTTCACAGTTTGGAAAATAGATGACGAAGGGGGGAATACCAGCCTATACAATGATGACAGGCACAGAGAAAACCAATGAGGAAGTGTTATTTAACGCCTCACAACACAAGAACTAAGTGGTCAGCTGATGAAGCAGGTCTTAGCCACGGAAGCTCATGAGCCTTTTCTATCTTTGTTGGGCTCTAAGATGCCACAGGACCACTCGTTTGAAATGTTACAGACGAGCACGGCTCCCCGCTCTGAGACTTTTTGGCACAAGAACTAGGGGTCACCCAATGAAACTACTAGGCAACTGGGTTCAAACACACAGGAGGAAGTATGTCTTCACACGACACAACCTGTGGAACTCCTTGCCAGAGGACGTTGTGAAGGCCACACCAACAAGATTTAAAAAAACAACCAACCAACCACCCACCCTAGATTCATTCCTGGAGACGAGGTTCCATCGATGGCTATTAGCCACGTTGGGCAGGGAGGGTGTCCCTAGCTTGTTTGCCAGAAGCTGACAATGGGCAACAGGGAACGGATCACTTTATGCACTGACTGATTATCCGTTCTGCTCATCCCCTCTGGGACACCTGGCATTGGCCACCGGCTGAAGACAAGATACCGGGCTAGATGGCCCATTGATCTGACCCAGTCGGGCTGTTCTGAGGTTCTAGTTACATTTATGAGGCTCACAGAATCCCTGAACCGTAAGACGACACATAGCAGCAGTTTGGCTCCTCCCCCACCCTTTCCCAGCCAATCCTGTGCCTCGAGCAGCTGTCATGGTCCCCAACCTCTCCCCTGCTTCTCCGGCCATTCTGGTCTCTCATACAGCTGCAAGCAACCCCCTGCATCTGCAGTCAGCTCCAGGGAAAATCTCAGGCTCCGCCACTTAGCTCCCGCCAGTAGCCCAATGCCATGGGCGGTGGCCTATTTGTTTCCAGCTATCACAACACAAAGGGATGTTTAACTGCTCCTCTCAGCCGGCCTGAACGACGGATGCGTCAGCACGGCCATAGTGATCCAGCTGCCGCTTAGAGATACCCCCCAGAGATCGCTAGGCACAGCCACCCCCATCCTTGCGTGGCTTCACTTGGCCTCCCCCGACTGGGAGAGGCAGCAGGGAGCAATGGGCAGAGGTTGTGAAGGCCGGGACTATAACAGGGTTTACAAAAGAACTAAATATTCATGGAGATTAGTCCATTCATGGCTATTAGCCAGGCTCAACAAATCCGTGTATCTACTCGCCCGTGGCGAGCAGATTTCAGCCAGTCGCCCCGTTTGCCGGCGGTGCGCGCATGCGCAGTGTGGGGCTGGCAAGTGGATTTCACCATGGTTTGTCGAGCCCTGGCTATTAGCCAGGATGGGTAAGGAATGGTGTCCCCAGCCTCTGTTTGTCAGAGGGTGGAGATGGATGGCAGGAGAGCGATCGCTTGATCATTACCTGTTCGGTTCCCTCCCTCTGGGACACCTGGTATAGGCCACCGTCAGCAGACAGGACACGGGGCTGAATGGACCTTTGGTCTGACCCAATGTGGCCGTTCTTATGTTTCTTAGGGGCACTGCGGTCAGACGAAGGGACGAGTCTGCATCACAGGTGCCCCATACCCATCTCAGTAGGGACGAGCGGGGGCTACCCCCCCACGACTGCCTTGCTGCAGGGTGTCACGTTACTGGAATTTGAGGGACGCAGCCAGATTATGGCTGCACCCATAGGTGGGGGTGCTGGCCCCAACAATGGTATAAAAGGGGGCCATGTGGGGTATTGAATGGGAGCTTATTGTTTGCTGATCCTGTGTACGCTATTTATGTGAGTATATAGTGTCTGTGTGTGTAGGTAGGAATCTGTAATCTGTGTGGAAGCTGAATATTTCTCTGAATGTGGTTGAGCATTGCTATGGACAGGCTGATTAGCGAGGCCCTGTGGGACAATGGCACTGAATGGGCCAAGGACACACCTAAAGCATGAGGGCGGAGACCTAAGAGCGGCCAGCAGAGAGAGGCTGAGGGCCAGGTGACCCACACCCAAAGAATGGGATTTGTCACCTGAGGGCAGCCAGCAGGGAACATAGAGATTGGCCTCTGACCAGGTGACTTGCACATACCAGAAGAGGCCAGGAAGGGGGTATAAAGAGGCCATGTGGTCGATGCCATTTTGTTCTCAGCTCAGCACTTCATCCCAGAGGCAGCACTGCAGGGATTGAAGAGCCCGGAAGACCTGTGAACCCATCCTGATTCTAGGATGCTCAACAAGAACTTTTAAACCAGAAGCTGTAACATCTCTGCTAGAGCCTGCATCGAGGACTGGACGTTTCGGTGCATGTAACGTAATATTCTTTAACAACCTGACTCTCATGCTTTTCTTTCTTGTGATAATAAACCTTTAGTTTTAGATTCTAAAGGATTGGCCCAGCGTGATTTGTGGGTAAGATCCAGAGGGTAAATTGACCAGGGATCTGTGGCTGGTTTCTTGGAACCGGACAGAACTTGTTCGGGGTAGGTGGGATTGGGTGCTAGGACCCCCCACCTGTGTATGAGGCCCGGGGCCATCTGGGGCACGGATATTGCTGGGGTGTTGGAGGGGTTTTGCTCGGGAGGCTTCAGGCAGGCTGCTGGAGCGCTCTGTGGGACTGGTTTGTGGCCTGTTTGGAGAGGTCACCAGTCTGGGGACTGTAAGGAGCTCCGGATTTGAGCAATTCGCCCTGAGCTGTGCCCAGACGTGGCCCGGTCCGTCACACAGGGGTCCCCGCAACACCAGGAGACAAAGACTTTGCTACGGCCACGAACATTTATTTAAAAAAAGGGGAAAATAAAAATGAGGGGAAGGGCCCACGGCAGGGGGACCAGTCACCCCACGGCACCGCGAGAGGGACAGACCAGGGTGTGGAGGGAATAAGGCAACAGGGCCCCGTCTGGGACGTGCCGGCAAAACACTGGCCCGGTCTCTGGCTGCCTCTACTGCGCTGAGCCAGGAGGGGAGAGGAGCCTCGGGGCAGGGGCTCTGTGCTTCCCTGCGGCCCAGCCCGGGCTCCGGCTGGGCCCTGGGCACCATGGGGGAGGCAGAAGGGGCAGTAACGCAGCTCAGCAGGGGGGGCAGCCCCCGGCCCAGACGAGGGTTCAGCCCCTAGAGGACGGGGCAGGGAGGGGGCCCGGCCCAGCCATGTGCGGCGCTCACCACTTGGACCCAAGGCCCCAGCTCCCGCCTGGGACCCGTTTCTCCCATGAGCGCCGACATCCCCCCTGCAACGTCCCACGCAGGAAAATGAGCCTGGGCTGTCCAGGGCCCTGCAGGCTGAGCCCTGCTGGGGTGGAGAGGCCTCGCCCCCAGTGGGTGGCTCAGGACAGCAGTGCCCAATGAGGGGGGAGCAGAGAGGAGAGCAGGGAGGATGGATCTGACCCCGGTGCAGCTCTGGGGCTAAAGCACCCCCCAAAGAGCCCCCCGCCCGGAGGCGGCAGTGGGGACTGTGCTGCGCTGGGGGCAGGGCCGGGCGAGAGAGGCCAGAGCATCGGGCCCACAC